GGGGAACACAGTACTACCAAACTTATAGTGTGGTTAAAAAATGAAAGAAAAATACCCCAAAAAGGAAGTTACCAGGAGGAGAAAAACTGTGTGTAGAATAGGCCAGTAGAAAGCAATTGTAAGGATTTCAGAGATTTCTCAGTTTCAGAGTAAGATCTCCCTGTTTTGCTTGTTGTCAAGTCTTATTCCTTTGTTAGATTTGCTTATACATTTTGACAGATGACAAAAGAACAGCCTATATGTGTATTAAAAGAAATTATGGATTTAAGTATTAATATTTCTATCTTTTTGTCTATTGGGAGCATATTAACTTTTCTTTTGAAATTCTGTAAAGTATTTCAAAATTTAATGCTGTTTGCCTGAGGAGAAAAAAAGCAAAAGAAAGTAATATGATACATCCTTTTTCTTCTAAATTTATCTTTGATTTGATGGCTTTAACTTTATTGAAGTAATTTTAAATTCTGTAGTAGTATGTAATTGGAAATATAATTCCACCAAAGTAATTATTGGCTGGTGTATCTACAGAATTGAGATAAGTATGGTTTGAGTGTAAAGGTTTTGCTTTCCTTGCTCTTATACTGGAATGGTCGTTGTCAATAGCGCTGTGGAACACTACATGGTTTGCCTTCCATCAAGGCAATAAGGGCAAACAGAGTTGAAATGTATGAAAAACTACATGCTCATGTGCTGAAGATGCAAGGAAAAGGGTCGTTGTTTCATCTAGGTGAGAAGGGGAAAGAATGCAGGATTATATTGATTTTTTTTTTTATGTGTGTTTTTTTTCTTCCCAGGTTAAAAGGGTAACCATTCTCAAACTCTAATCACAATAATTTTGCAAATGGCTTTACTGATTAAAAATGTTATTTTTATTTACCCCAGCACATTTATATTTGAAAAGGGTAAACCACAGGTAATATCATGTAAGTACTTGTTACAAAAATGGATATTTCTGCTAGGTCAAGACAAACTATTAGCTTGTGATTCAAAATATTTAGCACCTTATATTTTGTAACCTCACGCAGAGCCTAGTGTTAATATTTATGTGAAGTGAAACCAGACTTGCGTTGGCTGTTGTGATTGTTTAAATACCTTTTATTTGAGTGTAATGGAGCATTTTTTTATTTATGCGTCATAACCCTGCCAAGCAAACTGTTAACTGCAGTTTTAGTTTCTCTGGATTGTAGTATTTAACAAACTCAGATTAAGAATGTTTCCCTTAATCTGTAGCCTCGTTTGTTATGGTGTACTTTTGTCGAGAACATGTAACTTAAGAAAATAGCTCATACTCCTAGTTCAGAATAGGGCAAACTCCTTCTTTAGGCTTAAGCCTTCTAGAGTCAAAGGTGTTACTTTTTCTGTCCTGAGACAGTAAACTAAGCAAGACATAAGTGAAACTATTTGGAAGGGCAAATCACAGAGCAGAAAAGTTAGAGAGGCCAGGGGCGATGAGGATGGTTATCTGATATGGCTCAAAAAAGGTTCTTTTTTCTTTTGCTTTAGAAACTAGCTGAATGTGTTTGGATTCATGGCAGAAGTAAGACTTAGTAGAATAAGATTTGAGGGGATACTTTTTTCCTTTTTAAACACATGAAATGTTTGTTCTAAGGTCAGATCTTTAATGGTAAGATGCTGTATTTGCCTTCCAGAATGAAAGCCACTGATGATAGAGAATCATTGCTCTTTTCTAACTGTTAACATTGAAGTGGAATTTTCTTCTGAACTTCTTTGTCTTTATTAAAATGTCACCCAGCCTATGTGAGGCTCAATTGTAGCAGAATAAATTAGAGTTTACATTTGGATAAAAACCCATAGTACTGTAGGAAGGAGAGTGTAAATGATACATTTCTGGTTTAGTTAGAAAATAAGGACAACAGCATGATTTTTAGGTTCCATGGGGTTGTAAAATGTTTTGAGTATGGTCTCAACAATAGTGTTTTGTGATTGTATGATTAACAGGCACTGAAATATTGATTTTATTTGTTTTGAAGCCTAGAGAACCTATGTAGCATATGGCCTTTTGGAAAATGACTACACAACAGGGAAAAATGGTCTTAATATACACACTGGCTTTAATATTGATACGTTTGGTCTCAAAATGACTTTTATTAAAGGGACTAGGGAGTTTGGATTTGAGGCATGTTTACCCTGGACAAGTAGAAGCAATTTTATCAATTATAAGTAATACTAACAGAAAAACAAAAATCACAGCGTTAATTTTTACTCTGGATTCTATCCCTTGTACTGAATAGTTCTTTGGGATCAGTAGGTCATGAAAACTTTTTTAAACCAAAGTATCTGCATAGTTGGTCACTCACTGTGGATAAGAACTGATATGCCACTGATATTTAATGGAAGAAGGGATGTGACAGAGGGTGGTAAAGAAGAAATATGAGCATGTGATGTGGGTAATAGGTTGGTTTGGCTAGCTGCAACATGATATTCCCAACCTCAGTGTGACCACAGAGAGGGTACCTTCTCCAAATGTCTCTCATCCCACAGCAGGAATCACTGCGTGGGATATGCAGCTGACCTGAACCCCAAATTGTAAAAGTTTACTGCCTCGTGTGTTAAACTAATAATGCCACTTTTAATTTACTGTTACACTGAGCACTGCATATGATGATGATCTGCGACTTGGTGTGAGCTCTGTTCACTTCATGTTGCGATAGAACTGAAAACGCTGTGAAGGGAGAGAGTTTATACCTGCTTGAACCTCCATGTTGCACCTACTGGCACAGCTTTCCTGAGGTTCACCCCTGACCGTGGAGCTTACAAAGGTGAATACAGTTTATTGCCAATCTCACTACTCAAGCAGAGTCTTGAAGCCATCTCATCATGTAATGTTCTGTAATAGTATTATGCTAGTCAAATATGGAGGTATAACCTAAAAAATAAGCAGTTATTTTGATCCTTCTTTTATTCTAAGCAGCCTTTTGTAGTATGTGTGTAGTTGGAGTGCAGCTCCTAGTGAGCTGAGCTGTTAGTATATGCACTCTATTTCATCAACTCTTCTAAAGCAGGAATGCAGAGAATGAAAAGCATGCAACTAGTAACTGCAGTATGGAAAGTGTGTGTTAAATGAGTTACTTGTAATCACATAGGAACATGACAAAAACACAAATACAGTTCTTTCCTTCAGAGCAGCATTGGGCTATCTAAGTCACAGGCCAAGCTTTTTCACTGTGCTGTGTTCTGAGTTATTCATAACAAACCTCTTTCAAAGCTCAGTTAAAGAATGTATTAAGGTACATCTCCTTCAACACATAACCTCGAATTCACTGGTAGAAATTGGTGAGGTTGTTGTAAAGAGCCATACGTGACATTTTAATTGCAGTAAAACTAAGAAAAGGGTTGCTTTATAGTGACATACTACCCAGTCTAGTAAACATCAACTTTTCTGAATTCTTCGTTGCTGTATTACAGTTTAGACAATTTAGTAATTATTTTCTCTTACTTAATAAAGATGCATTTCCTGTTGCAATTTTATGCCATTTCCTCTAGGATTGGTGCCTATTTCGTTCTTCTTTTAAATTAAATAGAAGGTTGATTTTTATGTTGAGTGTGTTGGGAATTTTAGCTGGCAGACCTCTGCTATTTTCTGCACCTCATACTTGCACGTGCTCCTGACAGTTGTGAAAGGAAGGTAGGAGTGTGGACAGGAGAAACCCACACTGTGCTCTACTGAGTCGCATGATCAGTGAGTTTGTGATTTGGAGCAAACTCTGGCGCATACCTACCGCAGACTGGCCATTGGCTTCTTGGTCATGAGCCTTCATCCTCTGCAATTAATCTTTACAGCATCCTTGCTTCTAACTGAAGCCAAGATAAGTTTACAGAATATCAGCAATTAAAACTGTCATGTTAAATGTCTTGACATGGTGACATCCCTGAACCAGCAATGTGGCTTTGCAAGATTTCTTCATCTAATGCTTTTTTCCAGATCTGCATTCATAATTTTTTAAGAAATAAAAAGTGGTTTAATTTTTTCTGGAGAGAATTGTTTATAAGTCTTACCACACTGGCTTTACTTTGCTGTGTGGATTTCAAGCAAGTGGTAACACATAGTAGGTACTGTCTTATTTTTTTTCTGCTGTCTGCTACCTCACAAATCTGCAAAAGCTCCATTATTCTTTTGTATCATCATAAAGAAGAAAGAATGATTGGGAACTAGACAAGTAAGGCAAGGAACATTTATTTTTATTTTTTTTCACTTTTTTCTTGGACTGTGAAAGGCTTTTTAAAAGCTCAGATGCTTATGACCACCTCTTGATCTATATGAACTCTGAAGTATGTTTACCAGTGAAATAGTGCAATCCAAATTTCTTTAAACTATCACATCGGTGATTAATTGCGTATCTTGTGACACTGGCAAGATGACAACTCAGTGTCAAGCTGTGATGAAGTTTTATATTTTTAGTTAATTTTAGTCTCTCCATTTAAATGTGTAGTACTGCATTTCTCTTGGCCAGAATTTGGATAGTTGGAATGGTTCCTGTTGAACTGTGTATTCTTCCTTCAAAGAGTTGGGGGTGGCAAGGAGAAGAAGGAGTAAGTGCTACTAAGTTTTAAAAGCTTTGGTATTTTGAAAATCGTGGGCCTTAGTAGTTTGGGATTGACTTCAACTTAATAAACAAAACACAACCATCTAAATATGGTACTTTTTATTAAAACAAGATCTCTTTTCAAACTTGGTGTTTTGAGGCAACCCTCAATAATGTTTGCAATGCCATTTGAGATACAAAGCAAAAATGTATTCCATGTTTCATTGCTTGCAGAGGAGGAGGAAGCTGTGCCTCAGGAATTTGACTTCATCCCCCAAAACATCTGATGCTTATCTTGCACGTGAATTTTTGTAAAAATTACATGGATGAAATATTACATGAAATATTTTAATGTCGCTATTAAATTCTGTGTTAAAAATGTATGTCATGTGTGATTATTTATTATTTATAAGCACATATGTAGAAGTGCAAACAGTGTTTTCATTTATTGCTTTTCAGGGGATATAATTTTCAATGCACACTATCCTGACCTGCCACCAGATTTTATCTTTGGAGAGGATGCTGAATTTTTGCCCGATCCTTCTGCCTTGCATGTAAGTACTTTACTGTTTGAGAATTTTACACCATGCATCCTTGCATCTTGACTTTTTTAGAATAGCTTCAGCAACAGAAATTTTCCAACAGTGCAAAATAAAGAAGAAACCTACCTTTTATCTCACTTTTATGTGAGTATAAACAGATTGTTTTGTAATGTGATTTAAAGTTGAATCTGTAAGTGGTGAGGTGGTGTGTGTTAAAGCATTTTAATCAAGACAATATTACCTTTACAGTAACTATTCTGAGTATCTGTTAAAACATGTCTATTTAATATCTGACCATCTTAAATTATCTGTCTCACAAAAAATGACTGATAAATTGTGTCTTTAAAAAGCATTTATTTCTAAAAAAAAAAAGAAGTAGCATAATTTTGTGTAACGATGTTGATTTCCGTTTTCTTGTGAGGAAGCATAGAACCAAGGTAGCATGTTATGGCAACCCCTGCATATATGTATATAAATTATATATATATATATAATTATATATATTATATATATATATATAATATATATGTATATTTATATATGAGATATTTCATTTTGTAGGCTGTGTGTAGGGGTATATAGAAGTCACTGGTAGAAACACAAACCTGGGAAGTGTCTTTTAATTGAACTTCTTGCCTAGGGGAGGGGCTCTTTGCACAGTCCTCTCTCATGCAACCCCTCTTATGCTTAATGAGCATGTCTCCAGAGCTCCCCAGAGCAAGTCAGGCTGTTGTGCTGTGTACAGATGTCATGGTGGAGGAGTGTGAGGCAGTGGCCTCAGAGTTGAACATGTCCTTGATGTGTGACATGGCAAATGCTGGTTTTTGGTTCTATCTTTATTCATTTCATAGTAAGTTATATATAAAAATCTTTAGAGTATTAGTTTGAATAATTATTTTGAGCATACCTAACAGAACTTTTAAAAGGTGAATGTCATATTTCTTTTCTTTCGCCAATCATTTTCCTGTTAATCCCACAAACTCCTTTGGGAAGTAGGTATGGTGCTGATGAACATCAATTTCATTAGGCTTGTTTATAGAAAAGGTTTTACTTTCTATGACAATTCTAAAATTGTTTTCACACTCCTTATTTACCAGTTCTGTTTTCCTCTTTTCCTCTTTTGTTTCACATTCTTACAACCTCCTGAGAAATGTTCATATTAGTAACCACTGTCTGCAGTTGACGTTAAAGGAAAAGGAGGAATTCTTAATGTACTGGAAAACTGAAATTAATAACAAATAGCAAATGAGATATGAAATAAAGACAATTTTGGGCGTCTTGCAGAAATGCTGTTCAGATGGAGAAGCTTGCTGAGAGTGATATGGTGCTGTATTTCTCCTGTGAAAAGGAGTCCCTAGTAGTAGTGATCCACAGGCAAACCTGCAAGAATAAAAACATACTTATTTTTCTTTCTTTCTTTTTTACATTGTTCATTAATGATGCTTCTTTTGGGAGTGTTGCTTTTCTGCCTAAGCACAGAACAAACTTCCTGTCCTCTTTGTTGGAAAGCAACCTGAAGAACCATTCGCTTCTTGATACATAATGAGATATTAACCAGCCAATTTAAAATTAATTAAAGGAAACCAAAGAAGAAATTTGCAAACCAACAGTTTTTGTTTTACGTTAGTCATTATGCCTCTCTATAGCATCCACTAGGTAAATGTAATCACTTTTGATAAGGTCTTTGGTCATTCTCCATCTGATGGTATGGAATGTGTTATCTCCACCTTGCAGTTTTGGTCTGGTCTGTATAGAGTACTTTTGCTTTCACATTTGCTATTTAATGTTCCCTCTGGTTTGTAGAGTTTTTCTTCAGAATGTTACATTAACAATAACTTGGTTATTGTGCTAAATCTTTGAATAGCTCCCTTTTTTCCCACAAATGTGAGAACTGTTTAATGAAGATAATTTTAATCAAATTCTAAGACATTAGCAGAATTCTTTAACGCTTTAACGTATCTTTCTACTGACTAGAAGTAAAATACAGATTAGCACATTGACCGTAATTTAATGCTCCTAATCTTGAGCAATCTTCAAATACTTCTGATGCAACAGTTCCTGGCAATCAAAACAGAATCTACCATGCACAAAAGCATGTAGATTTTATTAAATGAGGAGTACAGTCTCCGAGCAAGTAATATGTGCCGTTGGATCTGTGGGAATTCTGACATTGAGCCTTTATGCGCTGCTCTCGTCTGCCTGAGTGTCTCGTTTTCCAAGAAGTCATCACATGCTGTTGCATGGCTTGAGTCAGGCATTATGCTTAGCTTGAAACAAGAACCAGGTACTCCAGATTCCACAAGCTCGTGTGGCTCTAATAGAAGCTGGCAGTAGACTTCCCTGAAGACATTTGAATGGCTGTGTTGCAGATCAGTCACTCTTCAGTTTCCATGGCCATGGGCAGACTTTCGAGTTAGGTTTTCATTTGACCGTGGTAACAGGTGTTCAGTTAAGCAGCTGTTAGCCAGACAGCTAAAGCAAGATTCCAGAAATACTGCATTTTAAAAAGTAGATGCTGTAGATGAAGAGTTCATGGTATCTTTTTTTTTTTCCCCAGAGAATTCCTAAATGGTTGGGCTGGCATTTCAGCAGTGGGGTGATATGTTGAGCACTCTTGTTATAAGCAGAGATAATCAATGGTGTTCTTTCATTGACAATGCAATTGCAGAATCAAGCTGAAAATGCTCATTACAACTCATCTTTGCTTTTGTGCCTTTCACAAATATTAGACACTTGGGTTTGAAACTCTGCTGGAGTCTCAAGTTCAACACCACAAAAAGTATGCTTCATTATGTGTTTTACCAGAAGTAGTTACTCTGATGGTTGCAGTCTCTGATTGTGTGCATGCTCATCTTCTAGAGTGATGTAGGCATTATGGAGCAACTCAACAGAGGGGCAAGTGGTCCATTTATTTTGGTTTGTCATATAGTATTAATTACAGTCTGGGGGCTAGCTTCTTTAGATTGGTGATGCTGTTCATGCTTAAAGCATTATTAGAAATAAACAGTTTTATTCTTTATTCTCATTAAAAATCTTTTCCTGTTGAATGCATTTGATACCTGTGTGTCTAGTAGGCATAAATAAAATCATCTTCTCAGAATGTAAATAGGAAAGTTCTTCCCTGCTCTAGTGTGTATTCATTTTGGATGACAAGTATTAGAAATGTATTTTAAAAACAACCTATGATTCACTCCGTTCTGATTAAAAATCCAGTTGGCACACAACAAGATTAGTGATTGTGTACGGATGAGATTAATTTGGAGCTCATTACAATGACGCCAGTTTGAGTAACAAGAATTGTTTGTTATGTTAGCCTAGTTGATTGTTAATGTGAGCCAGTTAATAACTGAAGTGCTTATGCAAAATGTTAACCCCATTTTTCCAACGATTTTGAAATATCCTCTGTTTGGAGGAAAAAAAAGAGGAGACAGCGGTAGTGTGTACAAGCTAACAGTAGTGTGTACAAGCTAACTGTCAGTTCAAGGATTTGGGTTTCCAGCTAGTCTTCCCAGAATTATTCTGCCCACCCATCGCTGTCGCAAAGGCTTCATTAGCCTTAGTGGGAATGGAGACAAGAGAACATGAGCGTTTCCTGAAACCTGCTAAGTGCTGAATGTGTCTCTGTGGGGTAGTGTATGGTATATTCCTTGTGGGAATACTTTGTGCTGCATTTGTGTGGAAGGAAGACGTTGTCATCACAGAATTTCAGAGAATGGGCCGCTGCAGTTGTCATGCCGGTACCTAGCGTTGGAAAGATCGTTTCCCCTTGTCTAAGTGCTAATACTGAGTACAGATTGCAGTCATTGTGGAACTGATTGACCTAATTTTGCTACTCAGGTATATTGGCTGTCATGCTCTATATCTTGCAAAGACCAATGTTTGTTTTAAGTTCTTGTATTTGTGCTTATTAGACTCCATATTTATCATTTGGCTATATGATACTGTTGTGAAGGTTGTACTGTTTTCTGTGTCTTTGTTCAAAGTCTTAATCATTATTTCTGTTGGTTGCTGAGAGCTTTTAATGGGTGGTGAAGAGATCCTTTAAATATCTCTCTTCCATTAAGTGTTCTTCATTTATTGTCAGGTGCATGAGACGGATGTTTAACAGTGTCAATTGTTCTCCTGCTCACAGTAACTACAAAAAAGCCCAAAAAACCCTTTATATTAACTAATGCTGTTTGACCTGTTTTGTTTTGAAAAGTCTTTTCAGTTGTATTGTTAGCAAAGATGCAGGTGATATGTGTTCTAGTATGAAAGCCCCATGTAAGGCTATGGCCACAATGGTTTTCAGCGTATGATTTTAAAGTTTAAAGCCACAGTAGTGGGTTCTCTTTGTCTGGGAAATGCGTGGATAGGTTCGAACTGTTTTAACATTGCTGTCTCTTCTGCTTACTCTAATTTCAGATGGCAGCACAAGATTTCATTCTTGGACCCCTAGCCTGCTGCTCTTGTAGTGAAAGCCTTAAATTACTTTGGCTTCAGTTGAACTTGGGAAATTTAAGAAAAACAGAATGCAGGATTGGATCCTGCATGTTATTAGAAGAGAGTTTTTTCCTATTTTGAACTTCTTTATATTCACATTTTTTGTGTTTACTTCTCAGTCATATCCTGACTTTGTATGTCAAGGAGTGTTTTGATTATTTATAATCCAGTGTTATTTATCTTTTAATTCTATAAAACTAACATGAATTCTGAAAACTGTTTATTCCTTTCTCTTTCTATTGATCCCTACCTATTTGTATGTATGGGGGATGTTTGTATGTGTGCATAGCTATTGAAGTATACATACATACAGTCACTGTGGCCTTGCTGAGATTGGTCTGGTGTGGATAGGCAGTGGTAACAAATCACGTTTTATACCACCAGGCAAGTAATTTAATTCAGGAACTTTCCCAGAAGAAGGACTTTATGACTGGTATTGTTGGCGTTTATTGTATACGTTTTTGTCCAATTTTCCAAACAATAGAGATATGCCAGTGCAACATTCCTTTCTAAGCCAGATCTGAAAGAAT